CCCATAGGAGGGTCTCCTTGGTGTGGTCTGGGTCCATATGGGGCAGGAGATTCATGACAGAGTCATGCAGATGCAGTAGAAGCTGCAGTATGGCAGTGTGGGGCCATCACCTGCCCAGGGGCAGCTCAGGCCCCATGGCCAAATAAAAGGTGAAAAGCAGAAAAAACCCCCCTGCAAATAAACTGCTGTGGTGTCTGAGGAAGCAGGGCAACCAGAGCAAGCACTGCAGCAGCTTTGCTGTCCCTCTAGGAGATAGGCAAGCCAGAAGCAGGAGCAGAGCAATGGCTGTCCAGGGGGATCCCTTTAAGCATGAGTCTCTGCAAAGAGCAGGCAGCAGCACCTGGAAATAAAGGCTGCCCCCATTTCCTACCAGAAGCACTTCCAGGTGCCTTCTTTTTTCAACAAAGCGTCAAGCAGTCTGGACGCTCTTTTTCAAAAAAGCGGATCGATTTTTCCATTCGCATAATGTAACCTAGACGCTCTCTCTCAACAGAGGCTTTGTCGATAGATACTGTCGACAAAGCCTCTGTCAAAAAAGGCGTACAGTCTAGACGTTTACCTGATTTCTGTTTGGGTCTTCCAAAAGAAGGACAGGAGACACTTACTATAGATTTTAATCAGGTCTCAACTTTATTACATAGATGTCTCGGACTACCCAGAAGATGAAGTGTACAATGCTGTCAAAACCATATTTCTTCAAATAATTCCCTGGGGGCATGTCTACACTGCAAAGTTAATTCGAAATAACAGCCATTATTTTGAATTAACTTTACTAGCATCTATACATGCAAACTGCTATTTCGAAATTGATTCAAAATAGCAGAGAGTTTAACTTGAAATAGCTATTTCGAATTAAGTGCTGAGTAGACACTTAATTCGGAATAGGAGGCCTCCAGCCCTTCCCAGGGAGTCCTGGTGGCCACTTTGGGCACAACCAGGAAAACTTACTCTCCTCTCTCAGTCCCGGAGCCATTAAAGGGGTTGACTCTGGACACAGTGCCTGTGCCAGCTCCAAGCTTGCCAGCCCAGAGCCAGCAGTGTCCATCGGGGCCCCTGGCCCAGCGGCCCCAAAACATGAGCCAGCAAGCCACTGGCAGCCAGCCCTCCACTGCTCCTGAGGAGCAGACTGCCAGCTCCCAGGAGTCTGACAGGGGCTGGAGAAGGTGGGCACCTTCCTAGTCCAGGGTGGAGATCATGGACCTTATTCAGGTTTGGGGGGGATGCCCCCAACGTCCATGATCTCCACACTAGATGGAGGAATGCGGCCGTCTATGGCAGGATAGCTACCAGCCTTGTCACCAAAGGCCACATGCGAACCCAGGAGCAGGTCTGTATGAAAATCAAGTTGGTCCGGAGAGACCCCCCAACCCTGGGCCCTGAGCTTCCCCTCCCCATTCTTCCCCTTGCTTCCCCCTTCTAGCTCCCTCCTCCCAGGTTTTCCCCTCCCCTCTTCCACCCTCTCTTCCCCTCTCCGACCTCTTTTTCCCAGTCTCCCCAAAGGTTCATCCCCACCCAGTTTTGTTCAATAAACCCAGTTTCTATTTTTGAATATTTGTCTTTTATTTGACATCAGGAAGGGGGGCTAGGTAGGGGAAGTGGAAGGACATGAGGGAGGAATGGGGCACGAGCTCCCGGTGGGCTCCCTGGGGTGGATGCTCTCCTGCAGGGCCTCCTGGATCCTGACAGTCCCCTGATGGACCTCCTGGATGGCAACCTGCAGCAAGTGCAGCCGGCCTGATGGGAACAACCCCACGAGATGCACCAGCATGCCTAGGGGCAGCTCTGGCTTCATGTGGCCGAGTGCTGTAGTGTCCTGAATGTGGGCACTCAGGGTACTCCAAGACAGGCCTGTTTCACTGTCCCTCATCGAGGTAGACAAGCAAGCAGGGAACCCTGAGAACTGTATGTCCAGGGTGGGGGTAGGGGCCCTTTAAGCACAGAGTTCAGTTACTCTTAGGCAGCAGCCCCACACACTAAGTCCTAATCTGATGCCCTGCCGGCACTGGTTCTGGCCAGCCTTAACTTCGGTTCAGGGTCCACTCAGGGTGGATGCGCTATTTCAAAATAGCAAAACGCTATTTCAAAGTAGATTTTGTGTGTAGATGCGTTAATTCCAATTAAGATAATTCGAAATAGCACCGTAGTTTAGACATACCCTGGGACTTCCAGCAGTCCCTATTCATTTCTATCCAGGTGCCCCAGCCAACCGATAGCTTGGACGTTACCATTAGCCACCCCAAAAGGTGGGCTATGAGAATGGGGGGAGGTTGGTTGACTCTCTGCTGCACCAATCATAGGAGTCCCCAAAAATCTCTTCCCCATTCAGTTCCTTTATCCAGTACCTTCTTTTAAGTCCTTTACCAGGCCATTTATCTGGTCCCTGAATGCCTTCCCTATGGAGTACCTCTGCTGAACATCTGCACAACCTTACAAAATTATTTATACCACCTTTATTTCTTATCAGGAAAGGCACTCACTAGGGGTATGTCTACACTACCCTCCTAGTTCGAACTAGGAGGGTAATGTAGGCATACCGCACTTGCAAATGAAGCCCGGGATTTGAATTTCCCGGGCTTCATTTGCATAAGCGGGGAGCCACCATTTTTAAAACCCCGCTGGTTCGAACCCCGTGCAGCGCGGCTACACGGGGCTCGAACTAGGTAGTTCGGACTAGGATTCCTATTCCGAACTACCGGTACACCTCGTTCCAAATAAATTCAAATCCCGGGCTTCATTTGCAAGTGCGGTATGCCTACATTACCCCGCTAGTTCGAACTAGCGGGGTAGTGTAGACGTACCCTAGGAAAGGAAAAGAAACCTCACTCCACCTAAGCCTATCTGGTGGTGCAGGAAAACTTCCTTCCCGGTCCCTTCTTAAAAAGGAGCAACTAGCATAATGCCCACAGCAGGTCCTAAACCAACCTGATATTCACTTCCACTAGGGAAGGGGGGTGAATGCTGGCTTGCTTGCTGCATGTAACAAAGAGGCTTCTCCTCCCAGGGCTTATACCTTTATGCCATTTGGACTTCACATTCCTGAGGAGTGAATCAGTGTTGCAAGGCTGCCCATTGCTCACCTCTTTGCAGAAGTGTCTAACCCCCATCCCCAGTTCTCATCTTTTGGCAAGCCCAGACAAACCCTGCCTCCACTTTAATTGTGGTGCAGACATTAATATTTTCTCACTTTGTTCTTCCACCAGTTTCTCTCCCTTCACTCCTTCATCCTTCCTTCTTCCCTGTGCCCATTCATCTGTGCTCTCACTCCATTCATTCTTCTCCAATTCTCTTCCTATAATCCTTCCTCCTCTCCTTGGAAGCAACTTTCCCTGAAACCTGGTTTGGTCTGTTCACTATTCCCAGCCTCCAAATTCATACTCCTGCATTTTCTGGTCCTTTTCCTTAATCAAATCAACCATAACTCCAGTGTGAGTTGTGTGTTTATGTGAGTGAGTATGTGTGTGTGTTTGTGTTTGTGCCTTTTCTCTCTTTCCTCCAGGTCAGATTGAGGTCAGTGCAATACTTCCTCCATTTATAAAATTCCTCCACATCCACACTGTGCCAGGGTGAACAAAATGTACCTTGAAAAAGAAATTGTACCTAACTTCCTTATGCACACATACATAACTCTTGTAGAACATTGAAAGATCACCTATTGAATGAAAAATTCTACTTAGTTTACATACACGCTTGCCCACAGGACCAAAGGAACAATAGCACACCATCAATTTACAAAAGATACCAGCCAAGATTTTTAAAGGTATTTAGAAGTTGCTGCACTCAGTACTGAAATGGACCTAACCCTAATTTTCAAAAGTGATTTAGGCATTTGGCCTAAACTCCAGTTCCTAAATCACTTCTGAAAATGTGATTTAGCTCCTAAAAACAATTAGGCATCACAATATTAAGCACAGCAATGCTTGAGGACCTTTATAAATTTGGGCCAGTATGCTTTGTCTGAACTACTTTAAAAATCACAACTCAGCTAAATTAAAACCTGTTTTCATAGTACAGTAAACTTCCGATAATCCGGCACCTTTAGGACCTAGAGGGTGCCGAACTGTCAAATATGCCAGACTATCGGAAGGGTTATCAGATATGCCGGACTATGAGGGGTCTGGGGTGGAGTGGGGGGATGCTTCCCCGAGTCAGCCACTGGTCAGTTTCAGTAGCGGTTGACTTGGGGACGCCTGGGGCATAGCAGTTGGGGTGCTGCCGGGTTGATCCCGCAATGCCGAGGGGCAGTACTACGGGACCAACCTGGCAGCACCTCAGTTGCTCTGCCCCTGGCTTCCCTGAGTCAGCCGCTGGTCAGTTTCAGCAGTGGCTGAATCCGAGAAGCCGGGGGCAGAGCAGCTCCAATTGTCCAGCTGCCTGAAGCACATCTGGGCTCCAGATGGTGCCGGACTATCAGGAGTGCCGGACCTTTGGATGCCGGACCAGTGGAGTTTTACTGTATCACAAAAATAATTGCAGTAAGGGACAACTTCCTAGTCAAATTTCAAGCTTTTTTAATCACTAAAAATGATGTGGTAAGGGTTAAAAAAGAAAAAATCATTTTCAAAATGACAAGTGTATTTTCCCCACCTTTTCCCCATTAACTATACACTTTTGCTCAAGATTCTAAGAAAAACTTCTAAAATGAAAACAAAAGTACCAGATTTCAAGCTGAGAATGGGAATATTTTATACAATTGCATTAGACTGACAATGAACATTAGTCTTTACAATGAAAATCAGACTACACTTCCTTTTCTATTAAGCATTGCTATATGCTCTACCTATGATGCTAGAATATATACTATAATGCTAAAGCATACCACATATTATACAAGCTCCTAATAATAAAAGCTTCTAATAAAATATAAAACTTCAATCTTTTTCAAATCTGAACTTATGCTATCTAAACCCACTGGTTTATCTTTAAAAGGGGGAAAAAAAATCAGCAAAATGACACTTTAAAAATAGAAAACAAAAAACATCAAATACTTATTTTGCTTTTACCTTGTAAATTCCAGCACGTTTAGCAATTCATATCTTTCTTCTTGACCAAGCTGGAAAAAAGACATTTTTGTTAATGAAATTTAAGCTTAAAATAATACATTTTGGCATAAACCTACGGAAACTATATGCAGCCTATTTCATATTAATGAAAATATTAATAATAAATAATAGCATAATTGTAATAAACTTACAGACTCAATAATTACAGAGTCAGGTGTCCTTCCAGTGAATACAAAATGAAGATGCTTCGCTGCTCTGACCAATGCTCCTTCATCTGCAACAAACCAATTTCCATTTTTTTATAAACTGAGAAACTATCAAGAAAAATAATTTTCAACTTTTAAATACCTTTTAAATATCATGGGATCGATAACAGAGAAATAGGCACATTCGTACCTGTTATAATTTTGTAATTATTCTTCTACCTGCTCCTAATCAATAGATAAATAATTTACTCACTAATAAAATTTTATTATTCTTGAAAAAATTTCAGAACCTCAGCTATTTCTGAATCATTTTAAATTTTACCCTTATTTAACAGTAGTCTTACTTTCCTCCCTTTCTTTCTCATTTTGTATATTTGTAGAATCCCATGTTACTATTGATTATTTTTGCTTTTTTGATATCCTTATGTTTCCCTCCTCAAACCATAACTAACTCTAAAAATATTCTTGTTTAAATGCCTCCTTGGGTTCCCTATTTTGAGTACATTTTTTTCTCTATTTCTAACATTTTTGAATATCCTCTACTGGCATCACACTGACCAATGCCTATTAATTGTCCTCTTCTTTTCAGAAGATTTATAATCTATGCTTTCTTACTTATAGAGCTTTTAAGGATTTCTTAATGAATTTGAAAACTGAACCCTACTTACTAAATATCTCATTTCCCCTAAAATTTTCTTTACTGACATGTAAATCTAACATTGGAACAATGCTGCAATTCTGTGATTACATTCTTGCTAAGGTAGTACAGCAAGAGATTTTCATTTCTTTGAAAAAAAATAATTCACCAATTAGGTTGAAAGAGACAATATAATAACCAAACCACTGATGAAAATTTCACCCCAGTGTCTTAAGGCATGTCTTCACTACATCTGTGAGCAAGCCACTCTATAATCCATTGTTAATAATTTTCAAACTGCCAAAACACTTGAATGCATTTTAACTTTCAATTTCAGTATACATCACTATGAGTCACTTTTCTACAGCTCAAGCTGATGAAGCATTTCACTGTGATAGAAATGTCTGTCTTATTTATAGAAACATACTAGCATAGTATAAAGGATACTACATGGGTAACTGTGAGTAATAAGATTATATACACACACACACACACATCACATGTTCCTTAACTACATTAGAGAAAAATCAGAAAATGATATCTCTGCCATGCCTACAGACCTCTCATCTGACTGCCACTGTTTTAATACAAACAATACAATTAAAACTTTGTCATATAAAACATTGATGCAAAAAATCAGTATGAATCTATTTGAAAATAATGTATGAAATATGGTTTACTAGTGTATTAAATATTGTCTTGTTTTATCTTGATGTTTTGTCTTATCACCAGAATCATCATGTTTTACTTTAATTCCTGATGATTACTGCATAGTGTTATTTTCTTTTGTGATTTTTGCTAAGTCCATGTTATTAATATAAAACATCATAGAGAATCATAAACAGGGGTATTAGCTTGTCTTTTGAAATGAACACATGCCTTCCTGAACACGTGACTTTGAATTTAATTTGCATTCTCCAACCCATTCAACTGTTTACAGCATATGTGTCTGGATGTTGTAATGCAGATTGCAAACCACCCTTTGTTATTATATAATTTATATGACTCCTATAAATCCTCTTTAAGATACGGATTGGGAAAAATCAAAATCAGTGCTGTATAAGGGTGTAAAAATTTATAAGACAGATCCTAAATATCACTACTTTTGCACATTTATTTAAATTTCTGGACAAGGGGGAGACCAACAAGACATCAAGTTTTGAATTAACAGTCGTGTTTGTTTTACTGTTCATATGTAATTACCAGGCTCTTACCTGGAGATGCTGCTTGATATATAATCTTATCACCTTCTCTTTCTGGAACAGCTGTATGACAAACTGCCATCATTGTCAGAAATTCACATATTATAGGTGCAGTTGGCTAGTACAAAAAAAAAGGAAAAATTAACAATTAATCTGTGCGCTGTAAAAATAGCACTAAGTCATTGAAAATCTCCTTTCATGTTCAAAACAATATATGTTTAAAATATTTATATTCTTTTGGTTCTTGACATTACACACAAATCATTTTTAACATTCACCTGATTTGCTTTAAGTCTATTCAAAGTGCGGCTATACTTTCCTTTTATATAGTGTGGCAGGGTCAGTCTCTCTCCTGAGACCCCAACCACTGTTCTGACCACTGTCCTACACTTTGGGTATGGCTACACTAGCCACCCTCATTCGAACTATGGTGGCTAATGTAGTCATTCAAACTTGCAAATGAAGCCCGGGATTTAAATATCCCGGACTTCATTTGCATGTTCCCGGGTGCCACCACTTTTAAATGCCCGGTAGCTCAAATTACCTGCCCGCTGCTATACGCGGCACAGGCTAGGTAGTTGGAATTAACACTCTTAATTTGAACTACCATTACTCCTCCAGAGTAGTAACGTTACTCCTCTGGAGGAGTAATGGTAGTTTGAATTAAGAGTGTTAAGTCGAACTACCTAGCCCGTGCTGCGTGTAGCAGCGGGCAGGTAATTCGAGCTACCAGGCATTTAAAAATGGCGGCACCCGGGAACATGCAAATGAAGCCAGGGATATTTAAATCCCAGACTTCATTTGCAAGTTTGAATGACTACATTAGCCACCCTAGTTCAAACTAGGGTGGCTAGTGTAGCCATACCCTTTGAGGGCTGCAGCAGGGCCCTCACCTGCAGAGTTTTTGTCCCTGGGCCTTCCTGGCCCTTAGCATAAAGGATGTTGTATGGGCTGAAGCCCTGGGCCAGTCACAAATGACCAGAAAGCCCTCTTTCCCCCCCCCCCAAAGGGTGGGGGTAAGGTAGGGCTCCAACACCTCCTGCTCACCTCCCCCGGTAGCCTTTAGCAGGGCTGGTGGTTCCTCCTGCTCCTCTACTCTAAGTCTCCTTTACACTGGGTTGTTTTCCTCCTCTCCCTCTGAGGGATTTTAAAGAGGCCCCTGTGGCAGCCCCAATCAGCTTCACCTGGCTCTTCATTGATTTGCATCCACCCTTTCTCAGCTGCTCCTAATTAGCCAGGATTGCTGCTGTTCCCTTTGCTAGAGCAGCCTTTCTCCCCTTCCTCCAAGTCCTTTAACCTGCTCGGTCACAATAGTCAGTCATTGCAAGTATTGAAGCCTATAGTTAATGTTGCCCAAGTGTAATGGAGTGTTCATCTCATGCTAGTTTAGAACAGTGGTCTCCAACCTTTTTAATCATAAGATCACTTTTTCAATTTAAGTGCAATGTAAGATCTATCTCAAACCCAAATTCCTTTGCCCCACTTCCTTCCTGCCCCTTTTCTGAGGCCCTTCCCCTGCTCCACCCCTTCTTCAAGGCTTCACCCTGCTTACTTCATTCCCTCTTGCTCCCCCATCCTCACTCACTTTCACTGGGCTGGGGTTGGGGTGCAGGCTCTGGTCTTGGGCGAAGGACTTTGGATTGTGGGAGGGGTTCCAGGGTTAGCCCAGGGTGGGGGATTGGGGTCCAAGAGGGGTTTCGGGGCACAAGGGGAAGGAGTTTGGGTGGAGGGGAACTCACATCTGGGGCAGGAGGAGGTTCAGGGCTGGGACAGAGATTCAGGAAGCAGGCTCTGGCTGGGCACCATTTAACTGAGATGGCTTCTGGATGGTGGAGTAGTGGGGTTAAGGCAGGCTTACTCCTACCCTGGCCCTGCACCACCCCTGAAAGCAGTTGGCTTGTACTGCAGTGGCTTCATGGCACCATGTGCTGCCTCTCATCTACATGCACTGAGCCCGCAGATTCTACTGGACATAGTTCCCTGTTATTGATCAATGGGACCTGCAGGAATGGTGTCTGCAGGCAAGGATGGCGTTTGGAAACCCCCTGGTTCTGCCTTTCTCAAGGGCTGCCAGGACATGTCAGCCACTTCCAGGAGCAGCAATTACCACAGGGATAATAACTCCAACCATACTAGGTTAGGAATTTTAGAACTTACTACTCAAAGAATTAAATATAAGCATAAGAGAGAAATGAAAATAATGAAATGCACAGACCAGTCAAAAATCACAAATAACACACTGTCCAAGCAGTAAAAGAAGTAACAACAACCCTCCACGTATGTGTTGGGTCAGGAGCTGAGAGTGAAGAACAGCATGTGTGTGTGAGAATGACAGACACACAAAGGCTATGTCTATACTGCACTGTTTTGTGCAAGAAATATGCAAATAAGGCAAAGCGTGGAATATCGCCATTTCTCATTTGCATATTTAACGTGTGGCCACTTTTTGCGCAAGAGGCTTTTGCGGAAAAAGGAGCCGTCTACATGGCTTCTTTTTGCGCAAAACCCCCTTTTTGCACAAGAGCCGTTCTGCTTTATTTCAGGAAGAATGGCTTTTTACGCAAGAGGGGGTTTTGCGCAAAAGCCTCTTGCGCAAAAAGCGGCTGCTCATTAATTATGCAAATGAGGCATGGCGATATTCTATTCTTTGCCTAATTTGCATATTTCTTGCACAAAACAGCGCAGTATAGACGTAGCCACACAGTGTGTGAGAGTGACAGAGATTTGCATTGCCAGGCTCCCTCCATCCCCTTCTCTCTGTGTGTGAAGATCAGGTACAGAAGTGGGGGGAGGAGGGACATTAACATCAGTGCCTCTCTTTCTCCCTCTCAAACCCTGCCCAGCAAGCAGGAGGCTCCCAAGGGGGCAGCTCCAAGGCAGAGGGCAGGAGCAGCATGACAGGGGTTGGAGGGGCAACTGAAGTGCTATTGCTTGATAGCTTATTCGCCAAACCAGTCAGGATCACTGTCAGAGGCTCCAAGATCTACAGGTAGATCCCAAACTACTGGTTGGTGACCAATGGCTTAGAAGATATCAATCAGGCTGAAAAGGGGCCAATTAACTGGATAAGCAGTAGCAGAAGGAAATTAGGTGACCTCAGTAACTCCTGAATGAAGATGGAGCTCAGCTCAGAAGGAACAGGCAGGGCTAGTAAAAAGCCAGAAAGGGGCAGTAGAAGGGGCTGCAGCAAGAGAGCCAGTGGCCTTTCTGGACATCACAGAGGCAGAAGTACTTTTCTGATTTCCCAGGAGTATTTGATTGCTGCTCTGCCCCAGACCCTGCTCCCTCTCCACATCTTCCTGCTCTGTCCCAAGAATCCAAGCCTTGCTCTGACTCTTCCTCCCTCACCAGTGTCTCCTGCACACCATTGAACCACAGGGAGCTGATCAGCAGAGCCACTTGCGGATGCTGTGCACCCACTATCTTTTCCTGATGGTGCTCCAGTTGCAGAACACCTATGGAATTGGCACCTATTCACAGAAGGATGTAAGTGAACCTAGAGGCTCAGGAACATGGCAACAAGGTTCAAAATAGGGCAAACCTTGGCTGCTGATTAGGGGTTCCTGAGCTGGAGTCCAGAGTAGAGGATGGGCCTGGGTTCCACTACCAGCTATTTGGAAATTGGCATCATTTGGTAGTGAATGGGGAAACTATTCAAGACAATTTGTATAGAAAGACTATGATAGCTCAAAAAGGAAGATCCATACTGGCCAAACCAAGTCACTCAGGGTACGTCTACACTACAGCGCTAGTTCGAACTAACTTAGTGCGAATTAGTTAATTCGAACTAAGCTAATTCGAACTAACGCATCTAGAACTAAAAACTAGTTCGAATTAGCGTTTTGCTAATTCGAACTAGCAAGTCCGCATTGAGTGGACTCTGAACAGGGCTTAAGGATGGCCGGAAGCAGTGCCGGCAGGGCATAAGAGGAGGACTTAGAGCATGGAGATGCTGTCTCAGGCTAGCCGAGGGCTGTGCTTAAAGGGTCCCGCCCCCCACCCCGGACACACAGTTCTAAGGGGTGCCCCGCTTGCAAAGAAGTTCTGGCTTGGAGTGCCCGGAGTACCCACACTGGGCACATCACACCACTCGGCCATCAGCCCGGCTGCACTTGCCGCAGGCTGCCATCTGGGGAGAGGGGGTAATTGGGGGGCTGCAGGAGAGCTTCCCCCCCCAGAAGCCCGCAGAGCCAGCCCAGTCCTCCCCATCGGGGGCTCGTACCCCATTCCTCCCTCACCTCCTTCCACTTACCCTTCCCTAGCCCCCCTTCTTATTGATGTACAAAATAAAGATAACGTTTCTTCCAACATTGACTCTGTCTTTATTGAACAAAACTGGGGGGAGACTGGGAAAAGGAGGTGGGAGAGGGGAAGAGAAAGGCTGGGAGAAGGGAGGGCAACTAACATGATCAGGGGTTGGGAACAGGTCCCAGATGAAGAAAGGCTACAGAGACTGGGACTGTTCAGCTTAGAAAAGAGGAGACGGAGGGGGGACAGGATAGAGGTCTCTAAAAGCAGGGGTTGGGTGGAGACGGTGCATTCAGAAAAGTTCTTCCTGAGTTCCCATAAAGGAGGACTAGAGGACACCAAAGGAAAGGAATGGGTAGCAGGCTTGAAACTAGTAAGAGAAAGTTGTTGTTCTTCAGAAAGCAAATAGTTAACCTGTGGAACTCCTTGCTGCAGGAGGCTGGGAAGGCTACAACTAGAACAGAGTTTAAAGGGAAGTGAGATAAAGTCAAGGAGGTTGGGTCCATGGAGTGGTCTTAGCCAGGGGGTAGGAGTGGTGTCCCTGCCCAAAGTTTGTGGAAGGCTGGAGAGGGATGGCACGAGACAAATGGCTTGGTCATTGTCTTCGGTCCATCCCCTCCAGGGTCCCTAGGGTTGGCTGCTGTCAGCAGACAGGCTACTGGGCTAGATGGACCTTTGGTCTGACCCAGGACGGCCATTGTAAGCTCAGGGCTCAGGGTCGGGGGGTCTCAGTGGACCCCCTTGATTTTCATGCACACCTGCTCCTGGGTGGCCAGGCTGGCAGCTCTCCTGCCCTAGCCGGCCACTTTCCTGTGCCTAGTGCGGAGATCGTGGACAAGGTCCGCGATGTCCGCACTAGCCCAGGAAGGTGCCCGCCTCTTGCGGTCCAGGGCAAGCTCCCGGGAGCCGCCAGCCTGGTCCCGGGAAGAGGGGGTGGGCTGGGGGACATCGGGTGGGTGGCTCTGTGCCGTGCCAGGTGCAGGGTCTGCTGGCTGGGTGCTGGCAGGCTTGCACCTGGCACAGGCACCGTAGCCAGCCCGTGCCCCTTTAAGGGGTCCGGGGCCGGGAGGGGGGCATAGAGTTTCCCTGGTGTTGGCCAGAGTGGCCACCAGGGAAACCTGGGGAGGGCTAGCGTCCCACTAGTTCGAATTAAGGGGCTACACACCCCTTAATTCGAACTAGCTAGTTCGAACTAGGCTTAATCCTCGTAAAATGAGGTTTACCTAGTTCGAACTAAGCGCTCCGCTAGTTCGATTCAAATTCGAACTAGCGGAGCGCTAGTGTAGCGCCTATGAAAGTTAGTTCGAACTAATGTCCGTTAGTTCGAACTAACTTTGTAGTGTAGACATACCCAAAGAGAGATCAACCTGAGTCACAGGGAAAGGGAGAACACAGGATGCACAATCAGCAGCAGAAGGCAATATTGGATCAGGAAAGAGCTAATTCCCAGAGCAGCCAGAAAGTCATACCCTAGTAATGTGTGAACCCTGTGACACTTTCCATAATTCAGCTCTGAGTTCAGTTGTTTATAATTTTGCCAAACTTTAACTATTTGGACAGAAATTATCCATGCCTGTCTATTTCAGACTGATTTACTTTGGACACTTTTATCAAAAGTATTTTAGCCATTTCTCAAAACAAGATTAGGAGAAGTTATATTGTTTTTCCCACATAAACCATAATTTCCCAAATGGATTTCTAAGACGTCTAGTTGCCAATACTAAAGACACTTAGAGAAGATTATTATATAAATGCAAACATAAGCACCAACTCTGTGGATGCTTTGAGACTGAGCATCCACAGAAAAAAATAGTGGTCATTAACTGTCAGCCCTATGACTCACCTCCCCCCTGTCCTCTGAGCCCTCTCCCGTGCAGGCTAGTATTGTACCATCAATCAGCTCCTCCCCTTCTCTCCCAGAATCTTTCACTTACTATGATCAAGCTGTTCACTGGTATACAGGAGACCCTGGGGGCAGGGATAGGAGTGGGGGCAGGAAGAGGTGATGTGGTGGCAGAATAGGGTAGGAAGAGGCAGAGAGGAAGCAGGAAGACATGAAGCAAGATGGAGGCTGGGGGAAAGGGTGCAGCCTGAGACAGAGTGGTAATTGGGCACTCCCCTACTACAGGAACTTGGTTCCTTTGAGTGCAAATGAGAAGACAGAACTCCACTAAAAGTGAGGCTGTTCAACTGTAAAAACAACAATCCCCTATATTGTACAGAATGAAACATTTCTGAAAAAAATGACTTCATTCAAGAAATAGTCTGGAAGAAGAAATGGTATAACTATATAGAGAATCACCAATTTTAGAAACCTTTTCAGTTTCACTTTCAAAATGGGGCAGCTCCTGTCTTTCTTATATTCATAGCTCTGAATTTTTCTAGAAAAGAGGTACATGTTCACTAGTTTCTGTTATAAGATCTGATCCAGCAAAGCACTTGAGCATGTGATTAACATTACTAGGATCTCCAATTTTAATTACAAGCAGGAAGAAGAAACTGTGAATGGGCTAGAACCCTTTATTTCTTCGGTGGAGGCAGGAAGTCACAAAACTTGCATGTACCCCTCTAATGGGTCCTGCTCACCAAAAGTCTCCAGCTCGGATACACTGGACACAAAGTCACCAGCGATGGAATATATATGTGCACAAGACATCTCAGAGAACACATGGGTTTAATTATAATTAAATGTCCATGGCTAATGAGTATAATTAAACGTCCATGGCTAATGAGTATACAGCTTCTCATGAACAGAAAGCTGGGCTATTATTTGCATAGAATATAGGTTGGTTTCATATATATATATATAATTTAATTTCTTTTAAAAGATGATCTTTTTTTGTTTTTTTGAAATCACTCCTTTCATTTTGTAAAACAAGATCATCTTTTCTATTGCACTTACATGATTGTTTTGTAGATTCTCCAGCAGCGATGGATCACTAAATGGTTTTTCTTCTCCAACCTGTGAGTCCTGACTAACAAAAATGAAGTAGAGAAGTCAAAAGAACATCATTAGTATTTTCTTAATCATTCATTTAAAATTCAATAGCCTCATACTAAAGCCAAACATAATTTTTGCATTTATTTATAGCCATGATACTATAATGTTAACTGACAAATGTACACAAGCACAAAGAGTAACTGAATGGAACCCATTATTTATTGGATAATTCTGAAATCTAAATAACTTTCTTAATATATAAAATTACAACACAGAAGCTACTGAGAGTTGGCCATTTGCTGGATGCTGGAACTGGGACACAGTAAAGATTAATCCCAAATAAAATTATAGGCTCCAATCCTGCATTCTGAGTTCCACGTGGGTATAAAAAGCCTCCTGTGCAATCTCACTGAAGTCACTGGGACTCCGCTTACGTGCTGGGGTTTGTCCACACTGAGTAGATGATAGTATCTACAATTATTCTTAATAGTGAAACATTTGTGAGTATGCACCATAAGCTAAGAAAAATATAAAAATTCAGCAATAGTATTAAAGTTTAATTAATCATAAATACAAAATTTCCAAACAATACGACCATTAAATACACATAGGCTACGTCTACACTGGCATGATTTTTCAGAAATGCTTTTAACGGAAAACTTTTCCGTTAAAAGCATTTTCGGAAAAGCGCGTCTAGATTGGCAGGACGCTTTTCCGCAAAAGCGCTTTTTGCGGAAAAGCGTCCGTGGCCAATCTAGACGCACTTTTCCGCAAAAAAGCCCCTATCGCCATTTTCGCGATCGGAGCTTTTTTGCGGAAAACAGTACTGTGCTGTCTAAACTGGCCCTTTTGTGCAAAAGTCTTTCGGAAAAAGACTTTTGCCTGAACGGGAGCAGCATAGTATTTCCGGAAAAACACTGACAATCTTATATGAGATCGTCAGTGCTTTTCCGGAAATTCAAACGGCCAGTGTAGACAGCTGGTAAGTTTTTCCGGAAAAGCGGCTGATTTTCTGGAAAAACTTGCCAGTCTAGACACAGCCATATAGTATGTCTGAGTTTCCAACTATGTCCCTTCTAACACTCATAACCTCTGTAACAGAAAGAGGGCCTGAAGCATAAAACCTGATATAAGGCCTGAGACCTGAACCCAAGTCAGGCTATCAGCAGAAGTCAGGCCCAGCTATAAGGTAAACACATGTTTGAAAGATTGTTGTCCAATACATGAACATGGGAAAAACATGGTTGGTATTGCTAAAACACAGGCATTCCTAAGAAGTACTATGTATTAGATATTCATAAACACATTGAAGAAGGGTAGCAAAAAAACACCCCAATATGTGTGTCGGTATAAAACACATGAAGGATGCTATATAGCCAGACTGATCCATCATGAAGATAAGGTGCGGATGACAGAATAATGGATGGAGATGTTTTGTTTGAACCAACAGATATAAGGTGCAGGGTGGTAATTAATCACATTAGAAGAGTAATATGTTACTTGTTTGTATCAGTGTATAACAGAGGAGTCACAGAAACAATGTCTTAGTCTGGCCTGGGGGCAATGGAAAGTTCTGATGCTGACCAAGCTGGACCATTCTTAGGGACATGTATATTAATATCCCTGGAGTTCATAGGGTACTGTGCAAACCTGGCCAGGCACCTTCACCACTGAGCTAAATCTGTGGTCCTTTTAATTAGTACAGGTTGGACTGCTCTTGTCTGACCCTTGGGACCTGACCGGTTCCAGAGGAGGGAATTTACTGGACAAGCGTAGGTCCCCTGATACCAGCCCCTCAGCCCACTGCCCCTCCCTGTTTTCGGTTCCTTCTGCATGGCTGAGCAGTCTGCAGGCCAACCCCACTGCCAAACAATAGGTTGTCGAATCAGGCTGCTGCAGCCCCAGCCCATGTGGCCCCAGTTGCACTTATTCTGCCGGGCTGCTGTGGCCAGCTTCTCCCCCACCCCAGGTAAAATTATCTGCAGAAGAAGCCTAAGCAGGGACTGCTGTACTGGAGATAAGGGGCTAAAATGGGGTCCAGCTGGGGCTACCCCCTAGAAGAGAATACCCAATCTGGGTTTACTAGGACCAGAATGTGCTCCCCGTTCCACCATGTGTCTTAAGGAAAACTGCACAGAGGAACCAGTCAGTCAGTCAGAGACTCCAACCCAGTGATGCTGGAACAATTTTTATATTGGGGGGTGGTGGTGGTGCTGAAGGCAGAAACCATGTATGAGAGCTGTTATTACTTCAAGCATGGAGGTGCGGTACCACCCCTAATTTTAGCATCTATGCTCCAGCCAGAAACATTAGTTACAGAAACTGCTAAACCAGTATCTGACTGTTGCAGAAAAGGACCTGGGGATTACAGTAGATGAGAAGCTGGATATGAGTCAACAGTGTGCCCTTGTAGCCAAGAAGGCTAATGGCATATTAGGTTGCATGAAAAGGAGCATTGCCAGCAGATCCAGAGATGTCATTATTCACCTTTATTCGGGTCTGGTGAGGCCAAATCTGGAGTATTGTGTCCAGTTCTGGGCCCCCCACTACAAAAAGGAGAGGTTCCAGCAGAGGGCAACCAAAATGATTTGGGGGCTGGAGCATATGACTTATGAGGAGAGACTGAGGGATTTTGGTCTGTTTAGTCTGCAGAAGCAAAGAGTGAGGGGGGATTTGATAGCAGCCTTCAACTTCCTAAAGGGAGGTTCCAAAGAGGATGGAGAGAGGCTGTTCTCAGTAGTGACAGATGGCAGAACAAGGAGCAATGGTCTCAAATTGTGGTGGGAGAGGTCCAGGTTGGATATTAGGAAAGCTATTTCACTAGGAGGGTAGTGAAGCACTGGAATGGGTTACCTAGGGAAGTAGTGGAGTCTCCATCCCTAGAGGTGTTTAAGTCTCGGCTTGACAAAGCCCTGGCTGGGTTGATTTAGTTGGGATTGGTCCTGCCTAGAGCAGGGGGTTGGACTTGATGACCTTCTGAGGTCTCTTCCAGCTCTATGGTTCTATGATTCTATGACATTTAGACAACTTTTCAGAGTACTGACTGTACTTTCTCTGCCCTGTGCTGATTGGCTGCATACTTCATCCCTCTGCCTTCCAGTCTCTTCACCTCAACTTCACTCCACATCTGCCCCTCGTCTCTCTCCCTCACATTGTCTTCCCTTCAATGGCCTTTCTCCTTTTATTTCCACATCCCATTTAGCTTACCTCCTCCTAACTAAACTCATCTCACTATCCCACAAAAATGAATGGAACTAACATGTTTACTGTCATCAGATTGTTCACTCTGCTTGTGTGTTAGACATACTCCTTTTCTCACCTTGTATCTGTACTATTAAGGATATAAGCTCTTTGAGGAATGCTTTGTTCTATTCTGTGCCTGTACAGTGCCTAGCAAAGTGGTGCCCATTTTTGATTCTTAGGCACTATCATAATAAGCATGATTATTTCTAAACCAAAGATGAAATCCAAGTTCCCCTGAAGTTCAGAATTTTGCCCCCACTTCTTAAGAACAGTTTCTAGCATACCAACAGATAAAAACAAAGGGCAATATCACATCTGGAGGAACATTTTTAAAATCTTACAGTGAAAGATGGAATTTTGCAAAATGTTTCCATTCACTCAGAATTAGAACTTCAAGAACCAAGTGCTCAGATGGGATTACTGGAGTTTCCTGCTGCAAAATCCTACCTCAATATCTCAATGTGAATAGGAGTCACTTTGGCTCATCTGACAGCAAGGATAGCAAAGTGTATTCTTCAGTAGTTTTAACCATGCTATTAAGGTGTGAGACTACCAGCCCAAGGAGAGGACAGAGGTCCTATTTGCTGAGGTTGGATGCTAGCTAAGTTGAGGAGATAAATGCACCACTGACAGCACACTGATGGATGGATGAAGAAATGGCTAAAACAACACAAATAAATAGGCCCCAACTCCTCAATCCATTTTACGATGGTGGTGAGGAGTTCAGTCGATGAGAGAATCTATGAGAGAATTTCAGAAAAAGGACTGACCTCTCAGCATGCATCTATAACTGCAGTACGCAGATTGATCTGACCAACCATATAAGGGAGCAGAAAACAAGGACAGGCTGTGACATTCTCCATCTCTGCATAACACAACAAAGAAAGGAGATGGAAGTGAACTGGAGAGATGATAGTACCAACATGTTGGGAAAAGGAGAAGTCATGAGAACCACTGGAGGAACTGGATTTATTATTAATAAGGAATGATCTCCAATAATCATCTCCTACAAGTTCAAGTCATGCACATTGGAGAGCTACACTTTCAACTGAACAAGATCATCACCCTCCAAGTTATTCAGATCTATGCTTCCACAAGCACAAGTGAAGGTGACAATGTAGAAGAATTCTATCAGGAGCTCAAGGGAACTGTCACTCAAAAAATCCACATAACCAATGGGCGATTTCAATGCTAAAGTTGGATGAGGGAAAAATATTAGAAGTTCATTGGAAGTTATGGCATCAATGAACAGAATCGGGGGCTCTGTCTACACTGGTGGGTTCTTGTGCCAAAATATGCAAATGAGGCTAAGCGTGGAATATTGCTGAGCCTCATTTGCATATCTAATGAGCCATCATTTTTGCGGAAGAGGCTCTTGTGCCAGAAGGAGCATCTACACTGCCCCTTCTTGCGCAAGAAAAATCCTCTTGCTCCATGCCCCTACGCTGATTATTTTAAGGAATAACGGCATAGCGCAAAAGGGTTTTTCTGGCGCAAGAAGGGGCACTGCAGACAGCTCTTTCTGGCACAAGAGCTTCGTCCGCAAAATGGCGGATCGTTAGATATGCAAATGAGGCTCAGTGATATGCCACGCTTAGCCTCATTTGCATATTTCTGGCGCAAGAACCCACCAGTGTAGACATAGCCTACGAGAAGTGCAACTGGCAACTCTGGTGGAGCCAAAATAAATATTCATTGGTAACACTTGGTTTAATAAGAAGGAAAGAAGGAAGTGGACATGGATCATGCCCAATGTGAAGAACAAGAATGAGACTGACTATATTCTGATCAATAAGCAACACATTGCATAAGACATCTCAGGAGTACCATAATTTAACACTGGTGGTGATTATTGCTTGCTTGCTCAGAGCACAGCTCACCAACAAAAAAAGGTAGTGAAGAAAGCATCGCAAATGGCAAATCAGAGACAGCAGCCAAAAACATTCAGTGTGGCAATATTGAAAGTGAACATTTCCAAGGAAGACTGGAGTCTTATAAACTCAGAATTATAAAAGCTTCATTAATAAGTTGAGGCAATGCATGAAATTAGTCAAGAAAGGAAGACTGAAAGGAGTGAAAGAAAAAAATCTCTGAAGAAATATGCAACTTATTAGAGAAGCAGAGGAATATGAAGAGCTCTGCAAGTCAATATGAAGAAGTCCTCTGCAAGCTGATATGAAGAAGACTAAAGGAGGACTTTGAGAACTACTGAAATGAAAGGCTCTTAAAGATGGTTGAAGATTGCTGAACATTCAAAATGCAAAATGGGATTTTACACTGTGCAGGTCAACAATAGTGGCATTGAAGAATAGCGATGGAAAAACAGTAATTGACAGAACAGAGATAAAAGTGGTCTGCAAAGATTTCTACATGAACTGCTCACATTTCAAATAAATGCCCTGTATCAACAGCTCACAGACCAACAAGCATGTACTCCCAGGCCTGGTCCGTGAAATTTGACAGATAGTTCACCAAATGAAGGTGCCGCAGGTAAAGATGGACTAATAATCAAAATGGTAATAGCTGGACGCCAAGATCTCTGGGAAAACTTTGTTCAGAGGTTTAGCCATTATTTGGAAATGCAGAAGATACCATCTAACTGGAAGGATTACAATGACATTCTGCTGCACAAGAAAGGTTATGATGTAAAGAACTATTGTCCCATATGCCTAATGTCACGTTTACAAACTAACATGTCCCCAAAATAACAACAAACTTACTTTCACAGACTCTGTATTACCTTCATCGACTGCAAAAAAGCACTCGACAGCACAGAGATCAATGCAGGATTGAAAGCACTTGCAGAGCAGGGCATCAACACAAACCTTATCACACTATTAAAGGAATCAAATTCTGACTGCAATACAATATAACTTTATTTGATACTCCCCTTGGCATCCCAGGTAAGAAATGTTTGAAACAAGTAAACTCTTCACAACCTGCTTCGAAATGGTAATTAGGTGGATGAATTGAAAGGGTGGAAACAGCATTACTGGAAATCAGTTAAGTCATCTTAGAGTTGCAAGATGATATGTTGATTGATGAAAATACTATCAAACTACAGAAAATGCTGCAAGAATGCAATACAAAAAGCAGCCAAGTTTTGGACTGAAAATAAACTGTTCCAGAATGAAATTGATGAGATCTGATACCTTTCCAAAATCCCAAATAACAATCAAGTGAGAGAAAATAGAAGAAGTTGTGTATTATGTTTATTTGGGCCAAGTAATTAACATGGGCCATGATTAGGAAGGTGAACTCTCACATAGCAAAAAAAGCAGATTGGTGTGTATTCAATTCTATCAAGGAAAAATCAACAAGGCAAAATGAGCCAACCTCTTCAATGCAACAATATTGCCAGTACAGTTGTATGACAGTGAAACATGAGCAATAACAAAGATAGTGGAGCAGCAACTGTCTGTCACAAAGAGAGCAATGGAAAGAAGAATTTTGGGAATTTCAATCCACAAGCAAGTTCTCACTGAAGTGATCAGAGAGCAGAATGGAGTGCAAGATGTAATTGTTGAGAGCATGTGTAGTAAAATGCAATGAGCTGGGCTAATAGCAAGATTCACTGACAATCAATGGACTGCAGCTGTCACCCAGAGGTACCCACAGGAACTGAAATGATAACCCAGCTAATCTCCAAAGAGATGGGAAAATTTTATTGTGAAAAGACATTGCCACACATGGAGAAGGAAGGGCAGGATACGAGAATGGAAGATGTGTTGTGATTGGCGCAATTTACTAATGGGTTGAAATCTGATCAATCAAGGTGACCAAGGTGATTGAAGTTTCAAACATTAACATAATAATATAATAATGTTAGAATCTTTGTCTATAGTTTGAATGAGAAAAAAAATAAATGCTCCTTAATGTTCTGTCATCAATAACTGGAAAGATCAGAACCCGGAAAATATTTTATCAGCGTTAAAAGAAAATATAAATTAATCAGTTTATTTGTAGAGATAATCTCTCTCCAATAAGACACAATACATCTCAGGTACAAAACTAAACATGTAGAAAGCAGTAAGATATTCTATTTTAAGATCTGTGAGTTTTCTATTGATTATACCAGAGAAAATGTGTCATGATTGGATTTAAGACTGAAAAAGTTTTACATTTCTGAAAAGTCTATAAAGCATGCAGTCACTGAATCAAACTACAAATGTCTTTAAAATTCCAGATCCTATGAACATTTAATATTTGCTTAACTTTGAGTATATTAGTTGTTCCATTTAACTTCAATGAGACTAGTTATATGTGCTAAGTCAAGTACATTTGGGTATGTCTACACTAGCTCCCTAGCTCGAACTAGGTAGGCTAATGTAGGCATTCAAAGTTGCAAATGAAGCCCGGAATTAAATATCCCGGGCTTCATTTGCATCTTCCCGGGCGCCGCCATTTTTAAAAGTCCCTTAGTCCGAACTCCGTGCCCGCGGCTACACGCGGCATGGAGTAGGTAGTTCAAATTAGAGATCCTAATTCGAACTACCTTTACTCCTCATGGAACGAGATGTACCAGTAGTTTGAATTAGAGATCCTAATTCAAACTACCTACTCCATGCCGCGTGTAGCCGCGGGCACGGAGTTCGGACTAAGGGACTTTTAAAAATGACGGCGCTCGGGAAGATGCAAATGAAGCCCGGAATTAAATATCCCGGGCTTCATTTGCAACTTTGAATGCCTACATTAGCCTACCTAGTTCGAGCTAGGGAGCTAGTGTAGACATACCCTATGTGTTTTCAGGAGTGGGCTATGGTTCACTAGATAATATTCTATTTCAAGATCCAGTTCAAGTAATTCATTATTTTTAAATTAGCAAACAAGTAGTTGATAATCTAGCAACAATATTTATTCCTACTGAAAACAGGAAATGCTGTGCATTTGTAACAAAATGTTGTAGTGTTTTAGGTGAAGTGCTGTAGCTATTCAAGTCAATGGCAAGACTACTATCAACTTCAAACAGGGGTCAGAATTTCACCTCTCAATATTTTACTTGAACATAGTTTTGAGCTTCTTAATGTATATTGTTTGAGATGAGGACATATGTAGTGCTGATATTAACAGCTATCCATTAAAAAATAAACCATTACAATATAGAGAGATGGTTTGTTATATTAATATTTCCTCTCAACTATTAGACTATTTTTCTAATGCTTGAATAACTGAGTACAGAAATATATCTGACTCTTGTTTTTACATGTATCTATCATACTTTGAAAAGTTTACATTAAAAATCCTCAACAGCAATGACCCTATCAGTTACCTTGTTCTCTACAATAGACAATTTAAAGTTATATTATTGGCAAGACAAGTTTAGATTCAAATGGAATGGTCAAATTTTCTTAACCCTTCTCATCTGCATATAAAACGTGAGTAATTCTGGCCCCAAATAATAACAATTTAGCAATAACAAATATTGACTCAGTAAAAATGCATATAAAATTCAATCTGTGTGTGCAAGTTTGAATACCTGTTCACAATATTTCTAAGCTGTGCATTTTTAAAATGTCACAGCTTAAACAATACTAAATTATGAATTTTGAACAAAAGAGATACTAATCAATCTTTAATGCTTACCAATCATCTGAAGAACAACTATAATCCTCAGGCTCAGGACAATGGCTGCACAAAAAGCAAAGAAAGGATAGAAATAGAGGGAAAATATAATCACAAAGAGGCTACAAAATCAGGTCACATATGAAAGAAAAGTTAGTAAAGGAAATGAATTTCTAAAAGAGAAAACATTTTAGAGTACCTCAAAAGAACTGATAGTGCCAAAATATCAGGAAAAAGAAAATGCTGCAGTAAAATATAGAGTGTTTGTTGGGGCTCTATAATATGCAACCAGGCTAAGTTAATTCATGCTTGATTTATCTTTATGAATGGGTATCCAACAAACTGCCTGATCCAAAGCCCATTTAAATCAATGGAAGATTCCCATTGATTTCATTAGACTTCAGATTAGCCCATTACTATGGTTAAAAAAAACCTGAAAATCTAATATCAGAGAAAATTAGAGATTTCCTACAGCACAAGATATTTTCAATGCATTAGTTCAAAAGATGCCAAGACACTTACATAAATACAAAATACTGTATAACTAAGTCAAAACAGAAACCATGGGGCAGATCTTCAGCTGGTGTAGTGATTGCTTCACTGAAGTCAGTGGAACTATATAATTTATACTAGCTGAAGATGTGCTCCTAACCTTGCAAACTGGTTTACACTAGTTAATTCTGCATGTACATCATAAAAGCACTCATTTTGAAAATATGTGTAATTAAATACGTATTTGTTCTGCAAAGTGTCCTGAAAGTGCTGAACTTCACAAATGACCGTATAGTATGAAGGAATTCAACCTCTCATAGCATAGGTGAAATTATTTACCACATCATTAGTGATGTATTTTCAAGAAGCTACAGATGAAATAGAGCAGTTTTATTTCTCTGCCCAGCCCCCTCATCAAATCTGCTCTGAAAGGAGAAAGCAATCAAGAAAGAAAATTCTCAGGGATGTTGCTTTCTGAGATGCCCCTAAATTATCTGGCTTTCTGATATATTATGGAGAGTGAATCCTTTCAAAGGAGAAGCTCTATTAAAGATGCTTATGTCTCATGCAAGGGAGATGGCATGGATATGAGGAGGCCACAGGGATCAATTTATATCAATGTAATTTTATTTTTTTTTAAAAAAGATTGATTTAAATCATGTTGAGTTATGAATAGCTATTATGAACATGTGTGCTACTGTAACTTTAGATTAAAATTTAAAATAAATTAAGTTGCAAAAACTGTTCATTTTTTCACTACTATTGGGTATCATATTTGAATAATCAAAACTGTTACAAGCCAAAACAAATAAATACATAAATAAAATGAAAATGGAAAATTAAAAATTAAAATTATAATGCCACAAACTCTTAACTAGGCACATACTTTGTACTCACATAAATAGTCCATTAACTTCAATGGGACTATCTCATGTGATTAAAGAAAGCAAATATCTAAATTTCTCAGAATCTGAAGTTAAGATTATATTTTTACTAAAAACTTCTTAGTGATATAAAATCTTTACTACTAAAAAACAAAATGGCTTTAGTGTTAACAATGAAAAGTTATTTAACTTTCATTACATTAATAAAGCTGTGAACTTGTATGATATAGGCAAAGGACAAAATTTTCAATGCTTAAAAGTTAGGCTCCTAAAACCATACTGATGCATGCCAGGGTGAGATTTCTAAAATATTTAAGTGATTTAAGAGTAAAAGTATTATTGATTTTGAACTGCAAACTCTTTTATGTAGAGACTAGATAAAGAATATTAGCCTCATAACCAACAACTCTTTTCATAACCACGAGAAAAAGATCTTCTTAACTATGTCCAATGCCAGGAGGAAATTAAAGAAAAATTAGCAACTTTAATTTGATATTAAAATCTAAACACTTACCCATAAGCAACTCCTGCTATAGTGCACTTCTTAAACTGCATGACATTGCAAGTCAGGGTACCAGTTTTGTCAGAAAATATGTATTTGACCTAAATAAATTTTAAAACTCATTACAATAGTATATTCTGTACATATTTCTATATTTAACAATTCATAGATGTTAACATACTTTAGCCATTTCTACAATTAACTACTTTACTCATTTTACTAAGTATAAAAATATTTGACTTATAACATAAATCTTATGAATACATGCTTAATATCTATAATTTCCAACTGCAAAATATATTAAAATGGATGTACAGATTGGGCTTGATTCAATAAATGGAAATATGCTCCACAGATTGCAGAAATTCCACTACTGCCTGAAATTAATGGCACAAGTAGTATAGGGTCATGTTTCTGGCAAAGGTCAGTCCTTCTAACTATACTTATTGTACTAATATCCTTATGAGGAAACTTCTTTCTAAACCCAAATCATCAATTAAAATATGTGAATAAACCCAAGCTAAACTCCTGTGTTCTCAGTGCCTGATTCAAATGTAGAAGGGACCAAAGACACACATGTTGCAGGAGAGGGGTAAGGCACAGCTGGGAAGGGGTTGGGATAAGGAGCTTTGGAAGTGGGAAGGAGCAGAACCTTGGACTGGAGGCTGAGGAGGTGGAGAAGAGAAACTTGGAGTTGGGGTTGCATACATGTGAGATTGGAATTAGCTGGACAGAGAATCAGACTTAGAGCTGGGGGAATAGACTAGAACAAGAAGCTAGTGTGTGGAACAAGGAAAGGGGGCTGGTATGACAGATTTAACATGGAGCCATGATTGGGATGGGGAACTATGCCTGGGCAAAGAAACTGGACTAGAAGCTGAGGGGATACTTAGACTGGACAAGGAATCCATAGAAAAAAAGTGGACAAAGAGCTATTGGAACTAAGGTGTGGTAGGCAGTGAGACAGTCAAGTTGGAAGGAGGAAAGACAAGCCAGATGAGGACCTAATACAGTGTTCTCAACTCGTTTCAGTCCACGGACCACCAGGCCAATCAAAAAATTTTCGTGGACCACCTCCTTTTTGAGACATGATAAAAAAAGAGCAGACAACAAACATTTTGGTTTGAAATTTATTTCTTACTAACAGATTTTTGGATTCTCTTCTCACTGACAAGCTTTTCAATGTTTGGAGTGGTACTTGATAATGCACAACAAATATCGCTTTCCACTGCAAGCTGATTCCTCTGTTTGGACTTAACGTGCAACAAACACAAAAATCCAGTCTCACACATATAAGTTGATGCAAATGGCAAAAGAAATCTGACTGCATGTGCTGACAGATTTGGGTAACTCACGGTCACGCTGACCCAAAATTTCTCTATGGTAGACTTGCGCCGCAAAATCATTTTTCAAATCCAAGAATTCCTCCTGCAGATCCTCTGGAACATTATTAACATCTGTTTTAAATGGATTCCTGATAAAAGATAATCCATCCCTTGTCTTGTCCACCTCTGGAAAGTATCATTGGAATTCAGTTTGTAGCTTCCATAAATGATCAAGAATTTGCGTCTGAATGGCTTTCTTTCCCCCGAGCATGGCATCCACATATGGAAATTGAACCAAATTATTGCCTTTGACTCTTACGATCCAGAGTTCCAATTTGTCAAGAAAAGCCTTGATGATGCTTTGGTGAGAGAACCAATTTGCACCTTTCCCTTGCAGCTGAAGATTCAGTTTGTTCAAGATTCCAAAAATATCGACAAGATACACAAGTTCTAAATTTGACTTCGTCAGCACG